TACTACTGGCAGGGTATGGAGGGAGGAAATTGCTAGACGGTCAAGAGTCGACGAGGGTAGCTCCGTGTTCGAGCTGGTGGCTCCTACAGGAGGGGCCGGAGGCACGAGAAGGCAGAAGAAGCCAGGTGAAACTACCCAAGCTAATTGCGAAGAAACTCGCGGAGCGCAAGCCAGTTTGCAGGAAACCAGTAAGCACCTCAAGCTTGCGTTGAAGTAATTCTAGGAAATGCCACCAAGGGCGCGCCTGCCACCTCAAAGATAAAGCCCATCTGGGGAGTTCCTTCCATTTGTACAAAACTTGCAGATGTACCTGCCTTGAGAGGCAGAAGCTGTTCGTTCCATCTGTTGCTCTTCCCAAGACCAGCGTTCCTTCCCTTCTTGCTTCTTCCCTTTTACTTCTCTTCTCTCACCTACAAAGAGGCATCTCCCTCTCACCCAGCCTTGCCACTTTCTTCAACCCAACACATCACACCCACCTTGCCTTTCATACGACTGCTTTGCCAACTCTATCCGCCTTATTCGTCAGTACAGCTAGTACATACCTTACCACTGTCAGTTCTTTTCTTTGCCTACAACTCACATTCTCTTTACTTTACTTAGCTAACATCCGCCTCAGACAAACAACCATGCCTCCTAAGAAGAACTCTGACGCCGGTGCTGCCGCCGCTGGCCTCGACTGCACTGAGTCCGAGATCAAGCTCATGATCGCCATCATGGAGCTCATGGCCCGTCCTGCCCTTGACTACGACGCTCTTGCCGCCAAGCTCGGCTCTGCCAGCACCAACGCCGCCCGCATGCGCGTCACCGCGGCCGTCAACAAGCACCCGACATGGTTCACTGGCAGTAGCGCCTCTGCCACCAACGAGGACGGTACTCCGGTCAAGAAGGCTCGTGCCAAGCGCACCCCGAAGAAGAAGGCGCCTTCCGATGAGGAAGACGGCGACAATGCTGAGAAGCAGGGCACCCCTTCCAAGAAGAAGGCCCGTACTGCCAAGGTCAAGGAGGAACTGGAGGATACCACCGCCGAGGATATCAAGCCGAAGCTCGAGAATGCTGAGCATGCTGAGAATGCTGAGACCGCCGAGGGCCAGATTTGAAGGAGGGAGCTATCACGGGGTGACAGGGTTTGCACATACTTCACTCGGATTGTGGGCAGGTTCAGAAAAACCTTGGACAGTCCGCCATCATGCCACCGTGCAATCTGTTGTCTTGAACCTTTTCAAGATTTGAGCTGCGATTGAACGCATGGGGATAGCAAGGTTAACTGAAGACCTTGGGGATATTCACAGACCAACAGAATTCACATCACATTTTCAACAAAGGCTTAGTCAGGCAGCGCTACTGATAAAGAAAACTCTCCACGCTTTTGTCCCTTCTGTGAAACAGGTCCACAAGATCAACGCTGCTAGGACCAAAGATCTGGTCAAAAGCCCATAAGGGTCAAATCCATCTACCTAGTGCCACATGCCAACACTTTTGTTTTAGCCGAATGATACCAATGGCTAAGAAAGTGCGTGTTGGTGCTGGGAATATGTCTCTGGATGGCGTCGCTTGCACTGTCTTTGTCAGAATGAGTGTTCCAGTAGACGCTACTCATGTTCGTAAAAACTTCTGCAAATCTGGGGTAAGAAAGATTCGAGTTTTGCGTTTGCCCACGACCTATCCATCCACAACTCCATGAACTATTCACTCATGATATGTCCATTCTAAGCCCTATTTTGGTAAATAATTAGCAACAATGGAATTTAAAGCACAAGGAACGTGTCTATTCCTACCTACACATAGTGTTCATCTAGTAGTACCTCAAAAGCCCCCGTTTTAACTGGGGAAGACTGGTATATTGACGAGTTCGCCTTGGTAACTGCCTCCCTGAAACAGCCATCAATCTGCCCTCATTATTGCGCCTCTTGGCCGCAATGTGTCGACCTGGATCTTCTCTTCTAGTCAGCCAACTCATCTATCTTACTTCAAAAATGGATGACTTCTTATACTTAAACGGAACGCCGCCTTGGATCTCGAGCTGAGGGGATACCCAGATGTACTTCCTGCAGTCAAGACTTTCCAGCCCAATTACTCACACAAACCAAAAAGAGTTCACCCCCCCGGTGCTGGACTGGGGGCTACATCTCTGGTGCTCATGCTGGGACTCGAACCTCGAACCTAGCGTAGGCTAAGCCAGTTGATCAGGCTCGCCCGTAACCATCCCGCCAAACGGCAGTTTGACCTGACCTCACAGGCCTATGAGGCGCCTGCTGCCGTTGGTGACAGGATTGGCCACAAGTACACCTATATCCCTTTGTCAGGTGGTGTGAGCCGAAGAGGTATACCGTTGCGGTTTCTCGTCCCGGCCGCGCCTGCCATACCTTTCTTTTGCCGCCACCACGTGTAGCCACCACGTGACGTACGCGAACCGGCATGTAAACACCGTCGCAACGACTTTCTGATGCGTCAGGTGATCCATGAAACGGACACCTCCTAAAGCTCTATCTGCATAGTATTCGCTAGCGATTGATTAATTCTGAAGGCTGCGCTCAAAGGTCAATCCACTCTGGCCAAGGTTTAGTTAGGTAGAGAAACGACTTGCCCCTGGAACTAGAAGAAGTTTCAAGAAAACACTCACAGGGAGTTCTAGAAGAACCAGTCTCATTGCTACATGATTCAAGTCATTAAAACCAGATGAGACTCAGACCAAAAGCAATATCCTATTTAGTAGTATCCGGACCTTTACTGATAGGGCTCGATAGTCGCCTCGGCCCGCTTAAAGAAGAGGACTCGGTCTCGACTCGACGAACATAAAGCAATGGCTATCGTCCTATGATGATAAGACATTATAAGATAGGGGAAGATGCATGCCGCGAGCAATTACTACAGGGTATAGGATCTTATTCGCCATGTTCCCTCTCGACATGTCAAAATCGAGGCTGCAGTTTGCGCGCCTCAGAGACGAATCGGAAACTAAAGACGAGAAGGAAACAAAGAGGACGGAAGATAGGCGACACAGGCTGACACGACCTTATACGACATAGCCCTTGGCACGAAGGGCCTTTGAGCAACGCGCTCGGCTGCGCCTGCTCCTTGATTAGTCGTTGAGGTCGCGATGCGCTGCAGCTCGAGCGGAGCCCGCGAGCTCGCGCGACGCTACAGAAACAACAATCTGGCCAACTTAGACATCGCCTTGTTGGCTAAGTGGTATAGCGTCTCACTAGTACCTAGTGACATGAGAAGATCGGCGGTTCGATTCCGCCACGAGGCATCTCTTTTGCTCCTGGAGTACCTTTGGATGGAATTTCTGGTTTTTGTCGATTCAACGCAACTTTCCAATGATTTTTGCTTCTTGCTTTCCCTGTTCTGGCGGGTGTAACTTTATTGAAAGTTCTGTCTGCCATTTCGTCTGGAGACGGTAGGTTTCGCCTGGTAGGGCTGTCCATTCGCGTGCACATCCCACCCACCCACTCACCGGTCACTTGCCACACGCCGCCGCATGAAAGTCAAGACAAGGACAGCTCCTTTTCTGCTCCATCATCCAGTTCATCGAAAATGGAATTGGCCCAGCCTTGCAGGTTTGCCATGTCCAACTTGTCCACAGCCGCAAGACTCCAGCAAGGTCCAGCCAGTTGTGCCAGCCCAGGCCATCAGGGATGCCGATGGAGAAGAGCAGCAGAAATTGAGAAAGCCGCGGGAGAAAAAGCCGAGCTGGTCGCAATGGCGGCTGTGCAGGATGCCAGAATCTCCATCCGCAAAACTCCATTGTGAAAAAAGTCTCAGGGATTGCCTGCTGCGCCCCTCTATAAAGTGGGCAGAAAAACACTGAGACAGAAAGGAAAAGCCAAGCTGAGCCTGGCCTGGCCTGGTTAGCCCTCCCCCACCTCCTGAGAAATCCATCCCCCCTGTTCTTCCCAATTGAGTTGACAGACGGATGTCAAAAGTATTGATTGGATGATCCACGGAGAGAGGACAGAGTTCAATAGCCTCTGAAGTTTGGAGTGCCTTGCATATCCTGGGCGTGGCTGCGATTCTGTGACGGGAAGAGGGTCACACGGGTTCATATAGGAGCGTGCCGTGCATGCGGTATTCACATTCTCTGTGGATGTCATAAGTGCGGCTGTTATTACGAATTACTCGCTTCCGGAGTCGTGGGATTATTCTTTACGCGAGCTGGTGAAGCGTTCAAGTCGGGGCCCGCCTGAAATTCGAGTCTGCTCACGGGCCCGGGGATGGCATCATGACCGTTGTGTCGGCTTGGCCGCTTAGCCACGTTTCCGATTTTCACATATTTCCGGATTTCTCCAGCCGTCAGTTGACACCTTCACAAGTATTCGTAGGCGAGTATTTCACTGAAAAGAATAGAACGGCATTGTTGGACAATCACAAAAGGCCGACGGGGTAACCTGAACAGAGTTCCATACCAGAAACCAGCTGGGATGAAGGGTGGTCTTCATCTGTTAGCGTTTTATTAACGTTACATTGAATTTCACGTGCCTACCACGCCTACGACCACGATCCAGTTTCTGTAGTCGGCCAATTGGCTCAATCTTGGTAAAGTTGATGAACCCGTCTGCGGATTAGTGATTCTCGGCACAGTGGCCGACGTTGCTATCGGCCAAGGACCGTTCTTGTGCCAATTGGTACACTAGACACTAGACAGCGGTTGAGTACGCCACCTGACGTCAAGTATGTTGTCGTTCTTCGCTGTCTCGGGTGAATGGCACAAATAGGTAGGTGGTGAACTGACCATCAGAGACTCCAGAGAGGGCAGAAAATCGAACCACTGACCACGACGCGGAAAACCTCGTATCCATCGCATTCTCTTGCAGATCTGAACCATTTGCAAGCAAGTCGACCAAGTACTCGCACAACAAGCGCGGGCGACTAGCGGTTAGCGGCACCTCGAGTCTTTATCTCGGCTAGCACCAAGAGTGACAAGTCACTGCCAGTTTGACACGGACAAGAGTGAACAACACTGGGGATGACTGGGAATCCAGAACATTATTACGACACTTATGACGGCGGTGGAGCCGTCCCCTGATCGCCCCCGATTATGACTCGCGCTCGGAGCGCGCGCCCGCCCAGAGAGGAAGGCCTCCCAAAGACCAAGAAATGGAATTGGGCCATTTTTTTCCTTCTTGCTTCAGACCGTCTCTGCTGTCCACGGACTAGTCCACTAACAGTATTGCAGACTGTAGTCTGTTAGCAAGGAGGGGATGGCCCCCGTCCCGAAACCCTTGGTGTCCCCGGCCATCGGATAGCTGGGAAGTCTCTCCAAGAAGTGTTGTGTCCAGCGCTGTTTACTCTTTGGGAAATCTGTGCTCCTGTTTTCCTGCCAATTTACCATCTTAACTTTACTGCCCTACCTATTCGGTCAAACTTGTACTCTTCTTCAACGTTGATCGAAATTTTACGTGTATTGCGTCTTGGAAGATCTCCCGCCCGCGTTCTTCGAGACTGGACTGCTGATATCCCGCCGGGCGGCCCACTACACGTTGCTCACGCTGCCCCGACGGACCCTTCGATATCGGGGATTTTGGGGGAACAGTTACGGGACCATCCCACGAGGCCAAGACCACGGTTCTGCAATCGTTTTGCGATCTGTAAGGCAGAATATGGAGTAAGGGGGGTCGAACTCGAAAAAGGATACGAAAGAACCAGAACATACACTCGAGACACCCTTGACTTGAATTGATCTTCAGTTTTATCTTCTTGTCAAAGTAAGAAGAACAGCAGTAATCGGTCCGCTGCCATTCCCAGCAGCGCGAGGAGGAGGCCAAGATTTCTCTCCCCAAAGTAAATACAGAACATCACTCCAAATGACGACGACATCCGATCCGAATCCAATGACAACCCAACGAGGCGCGGCGCCTCTGACGACCGTCTTCACGACGCCGGACTTTTGCAACTCCCTCTACTGGACAAACACAATCACACCGCCCCTCTCGAGCGTAGTATGCATGCCCACATCATGGCACCAGGTCAACGACTATAGCTGGGGCTACTACTCCCCCGGCATCTGCCCCTCAGGCTACACCGAAGGTTGCGCGTTCCCGACCTCGCTCGCGAGCTCGAAGGACGGTGCCGTCGGCATGGGCGGGCCTGTCACGGTCGGCGAGACTCCGCGGCTGTGCTGCCCGACGGGGTACGTCTGTTATACCGACACCAAGAGCTACGGGTACAGCAAGTGTATTTCCACGATCCCGAGGACGTCGTTTTATAATAGCGATAATCAGCCTACTTCACAGCTGGCGCTGGTGTATGCGGTGCAGGTGCGGTGGGCGAGCTCGGATTTGAGTATTTTGGAGACGGATCCGACGGTGCCGGGGGCGACGTATACAGGGGCTACGGCTACGGGGAGCGGAGGGGAGACGGTTGCGACGACGGGGGCACAGACGGGGAGTAATTCGATTGCGACGGCGACGGCGACGAGTACACCAGTCGGATCGGACACCGGGTCATCGGACGGAGGTGGAGGGGGTATTTCAGTCGGCACGACGATTGCGATCGCGGTTGGATCAGTCGCGGGGACGCTCGTGCTGGCGCTGCTGGCATTTATCCTACTATGGCGACGACGCAAGAGACGGCAGGCACAAAAGCTTGCAGCGGCGGGCGAGAACGGTGGCAACGGAGATAGCGACTCGAAATCGGATTCCGTGGCGCCGACAATGGCACATAAGGCGCCCGTGGGGAAGTCGTCTCTGGATATCATGTCGCCCAGCACGGCGAGGCCGGGGACAGGGACTACTGTCGTGGGCGACGAGGCGCTGCACTCGCCGCGGTCGCCGACGACGACGGCGCAGCTTGACTCGACGACGGTGATGGAGATGGAGACGATGGAGAGGCCGCAGGAGCTGCCTGATACAAATGAGGTGTTTGAGATGGAGGGCGATATGCCGGGACCGCCATTGTACCGGGAGAAAGAGGGGTGGCCTCTTAGGTGACGAGGGGGGTTTTGAGAGTGTTGGTGACCTTGTCTTTTTGCGAGATCAATCAGCGATGTGTATCTGTTACCATCTTGTCTGTCAGGATATACCTATTGTGGTTTACTGTGTTTTTTAGTAGCGCTGGAGTTCATGTAGGGATGGGTTATGGAAGCTCTCGACTCGCTTCAGTCGGTTCCTTGAAGAGCTTTCGAGAGGCAATACTCTAGAGAGCTTTATTATGCATACACTGCAAATCAATATAATCGAAATCAATTCTACACTAGGCTGGGTTGCACGATGGCTTATCGACACTGATATGTTACGACTGTTCACGGGACGGGACGATAGGTAAATTAGTACCTAAGTACGCCATTATTTGGAGACATGTCGGAGTCTCACTATGAAATGTTTGCCTTCATGCCTGTCCAGAACTGAAGACTCCCCAACACATACAAGGGACACCGTACCGTCTTTTACTGATCTCACGCCGTTTGCTTAGAGACTCTCCCGCGCCTCATCTTTAGAAAATCTCCGTAGCCACGCCGCCAATTCGAGCTGGCTCCCGCCGCTTTAACAGTCCATAAGTTGAAGCAGCATTGAGACATGGGGAAAACAGAACTGTGGCGGATGTCGACGCCGCTTTTCAAGATCGTAACTCTGCCAACGTCAAGCCGCGATGTTCTGGAAAACGAAAACTGGATGACTGTGATTGTACAGGCTTCGCGGAACAATGAGATGCACTTTTCAGCTCATAGGATAAATCCTGGTCTACTATTGTTGACTCTGACGATGTCATTCGTTACTTCAACTACGCCCACACACATCACTCTCACGTCCATGTCCAACAACAAGCATCGTCCTCAATCATTAGCCTCTCGCAGCCACACGCACACACAAATAACATCGGATTATCCCCGAAATCTAGATCCTTCGCCCCGGCCTCTCACCCAGGCAGCGGTGCCTGTTTAGGGCCGCTCCAGCCGACATTCCAGGCTACTGGGGCCACTAAGATGCCTTTACCCTCCCGACGCCCCGGCTTGCCCCTGTCTTAATTGACCTCGCTCATTCGGCGGGGGCGACAGGGCTCCAGCAGGCAGAAATGGCGGGGCTTGTAGGATTCTCGTTCCAACGTCCAACACTTGGTGTTGGTGTTGGACGTGTTGGACGACGCTGACGGATATAAAGTGAGTGTCTTTGACGCTATTTTCACACTTTTCTTCGCTTGGTTTTCATTTCCGATTCACCCGTGCTTCGTTTCACGTAGTGCCTTGAAAGAAGTCGTCAATATGTCTCGGCGATCCGCAGAAACGATGAACATCCCGAGGGGGATAGACGTCGTTAACCCTAATTACTTACATCCCCATCTCGTCATGATCGGTAGGTGCTGTTGATGGATTGTGAGAATGTCCTCACAATAATCTCCCCAAACTACACATTAACAACACCATTACTCACCTCCCCATCTTCTAGGCGACGTCAATGCCCTCCCCCTAGACCTCGTAGTCCAATTCTCTTTCCTCCTCATGGGAACAGGCCACCTCTTCAGCGGCAAACCCGCAACACGCTCACTCCCACCGCCAGAAGACGAAGACGAAAAGACGCTTTGCGCACGCCCTTACAACGACTGGGCCCCAGCACCCTACAACGCCTGCTCCATCCGCGCAGACTCCTTCATGAACAGAGCCATGACCACCGTCTCGGGCTTCGGCGACATGCTCTCCATCGTCACCTCGACGAGCACGGAGTGCGATCGCGATCTGCACCACATGAAGACCCGACTTCTATGCGGCGTGCCGCCCATGTCGATTGCGAGGTGGCGCCACAAGGGTTTGCATGAGCTGGATAACATTCAGCGCGCGTGCCAGCATCTATGTGCTGTGGTGGATGCGTTCGAGTACCTTAACCTCCCGCATAATGAGGAGAGGATGCGGAAGGGGTGTAATGGTGTCTGGAATGCGTGCCACGACTTTGAGAAGGCTCTGAATGCGTATAGAAGGGAAAAGGGGCGCGGGGGTCCGGTGAGCGTGACGGCGCTGTGGGAGGAGTATATCGTGGACTTCTTCAATACCGTAGCGGTCAGGGCGCACGCGTGGGTAATGGCGCGGATAGGGGAGCTGAAAGAGGCTCTTCTGCTCCAGCTGCGTCAAACCACACCCGTACCCGACGGCCCGGCGTCTGCGGCGCAGATGGAGATCCTGGACCGGTTTCACGACCTTACCGAGATAACGAACAAGGCGGATACGAAGATTATGGTGCCGTTGTGGGGGTATTCCCTCCGCACTCTTACCTCTGCGGCGCCGAGGCTGAGGGATAATTGGAACGGGTATGACGGGAGGGAGGCGATGGCGGCGTATCCGTATGATATGCGGCTCCGCTCCAGGATTTACGGGATCCGGTGCCGGTATCTCAGTCGGTCGGCGCAGGTGCAGCGCGCGATGGAGAATATCAGGCTGGGGAGGGAGGTGCCGGCCTTGTCTGATCCGAGAGGGTTGGAGGCCACGTGTCGGGCGCAGATGAGGGAGTATGAGCAGGCGAGGAGGGAGTTGCGAGGGGTGGTGCCGGAGATGGGCGATGAGCCGTGGATTGCTGGTGTGAAGGGGATTATGCAGACGGCGGCTCATCGACCGTTTAGGGTTTGGGGTTATATTGGGTATCGTGTGTCGTATGAGCATTCTGATGAGGAGTGGAAGGCGTTTCTTGGGAAGTTTAAAGATGATGTAACGGCGTGGGGAGAGGGTGTTGTTGGGGCTGGAGATGTGAAGCCTATGTGCAAGGTGCGGTGGATTGATGGGCGGGAGCACGGGATTCCGGAGGGCGATGTCGAGGCAGCGAAGAGGTGAGTTACCCCGCTGATTGGGAGTATGATGTGAGCTTGGGTCGCTGACAAGTGGACAGACACTATGAAGAGTATAGCAAGTCTCCGGCGTGCGAAGGTTTCATGACTCTCAGCGGAGGCGTCTTTCTGGTCGCGGACAAGGCGTCCATCGATTCATACTTGCACCCAGTAAAAGATGACGCGGAACCGATTATCCCTCGCGGCGACCTGGGTTCTTTTGTCCTGCTAGCCAAGCCGGATGATGAGGATAGCGAGGACAGGGAGCCGTCAACAAGGGAGAGGAGACTGTCTCGAGACGCAGCTGGAAGACCGATAATGAGTCGGGACTGGAAGTTCGATGGCACTGTGAGGGTGCTCGGTGCGGTCTTGTTCGACGATGTTTGGGCTTTGATGTCACGGAACTCGGTCAAGCTGCCGGATCTGGCGAAGATGGCGCTGGTTCATCCGCGGCAGGTCTATGTTGGGCCGAGTGTGCCGTTGGAGAGGGACGGGTGGTGGACGGCGGGTGTTTGTGGGTTGACGGTGTTCAAGTCTTTTGAGAAGTGGAAGACGTCGTGAGGGTCTTTCTCATAGCTCTACGAAGTTATGTGACGATTGGCTGATAGATGGTAATGGGGGGGCTTCCGCGGCCGCCCTGGTGAGCAGCAATAGGGATGTTACTTGAGACGAGATATCCATTGACACCCTTGTAATAAACACTTTCCGGTCTCCTTGAAATACCTAAGCTTTGATTCGAAACGTATTACTTTAGATGAGGGCCGTCGGGATAATATGGTAGATCACTTGCTAGGGGCGTTCATTGTGATGTCAAATGAAAGCGTATGTTTTTTTGTAAGCTATTGCGTCTATATTGCAACACACCGTGAAAGCCAATAATTCATACCACGATATCGCGAGAATACTCACCTCACTCCGAGGTTGACAGGAAGTCTTGGACATGAAGCCTACTTCAATCTAGCAGGTTGGCCCTCTCACAGGGATGAGGCCTACCCTAGCCTGCTGTCAGTTCCCGCATTGGCGGTAAGCTTAAATGAAAGCTCCACCAGGTTCAAGGCACAGCTGCCTGGACGCCGACTCACTTGTCCCCGTTCAATGGCGCTATTGGCGCAAGATGTATTTGTACCAGCCGTTGAACAAGTGTCAATAGCAGCTCAAGCCATTTTGATCTATTATATAGAAAATACAACTGGAGATATTTCATATGAAGCGGGATACGTCGTCGTTGGGTAAGTACTTATGAATCGTTGCGATAACTGAGATCATTACTGGCGAGAGCAGCCCAGCTGTAGCAACGGGGGCTACTTTGAAAAAGCCTGGCCTCGCGAGGTATTGATGAAATTCCATCTTTCTGGTATTCAACGGCAAACACCATTCATGTTGTGTGAGTCAATGTGAGCGGCGTTGACATGCTAAAGCGGATCTCCGCATTGAGGCGACACAGGTCGCTCAGCGCAATGGCAGGGATGTCTCCAAAATAGGTAGTGGCGGGAAGCACTCGCACATGAACATCGCGACGGATCATTCGTCTTGATGATGATTATCAAGTCTTATGAGCCTACTTATACACAACTGACATCTTGATCTTTTTGATTGAAGGCGCCAGGATCACCTTGAACAAGATAAAATACGAACCGCATGGTTGAACTTGGCTGATGAACTAAGAATCCTTCCCGACGCTTGTGTGGGATGGGCCATTTTTAGGACGCGAGGAACTCCGTTGCTGGAGCACAGCACAGCCCCGGAGCTGAAGCTGACTGAGACCCTACCAACCAAAAGATGATCAGTTAAGATCGCCCGTATCCCTTGAGGCTAAAACTGTCAGCTCTCCCAATGCCTTCACAGTTTTGTCTGCGTCGTAGAAACTTGGGTTTCTAGTGTTGATAGCTTCTGCGACAACCACATCGCAGGCAGCTAACCACAGAGTTCGACGCCTTGGAACAGTACGTTCACGATTGAGGTAGAACAGTCGCCGAAATGATTCATTCACCATCAGAGCCAATCTCAGTCGGTCGGCGGCATCTCATGCGCCCGGTACTGCTCGTCTTGGCGTTTGTTTTCGCCCTCTTCGTCGCCCTTGTCCAGATCTTGACTCTTACGGCCGGCACCTGGGTAAACCGCGACAGCAACGGCACTCAACGTCTGGGGCTGTCGAGCCTCGCTATAGTGGAGGTAAGCAGAAGGCTCTCCTTGAACATCGCGAACTCTTCAACATAAACTAACTCCACAAACCCACAGTTCGACGGCATCATCCCATCGCAAACGAACCCAAACACCTACCTCGTAACAATGCACCAATTCGCCGCCTCCTTCGCCTACACCTACCCATCCAAATCCCTCGCAGGCACCCTCGACTCATCCCCTCACCTCCCCTACGACCTCGGCGCCGTCGCCCACGCCCTTCGTCTCCCCGAGTCCGAATGGGCATGCTACCACTTCGCCCAAGACGCTTGCCAAAACAATCCCTTCCTCAGCGCCTTTCGCAACTCGTGGCTCATCCTCCCCACCGCAACAGCCAACTTCGCCCTCGTCTATGCGCTCATTGTAGTCTCCTACCTCTTCATCACGGAGCTACTCATCGCCGTACGGCCGAGCTGGCTGCGATGCCAGTGCTACTTCTCATGCATCAAGCGCGTTTGTCCATGTCCGCGCGGGACGAGAGCGGAGATTGAGGCGCTGCCGCCGGTGTTTTGGGATCGGTATCGCGGGTGGTGCTGGTTTATGTTGCCGGCTGCGGCGTTTTTGCCGGCGTTCACGTTGGGAGGGAATGGGATGCTGCTGAAGGAGTATGTTAACCGGCCAAGGGGTCTAGAGGGGGATGTCAATGGGCGGTTTGGGACGGGTTTTGTGATTTTGCAGGCGCTTTGCTTCGCGGCTTCGGTTGCGGGGGCTGGGTGTATGGTGATGAGGAGACGATTGGGGATGAGGAAGAGTTGGATGGGGGAGCAGGGTGTTGGGTTGAAGAGAGGGGCCTGAGTCGATTGCTGGCGATACTCAGAGATAGAGAGAATGCGATGATTTCCTTGCGTCTGGTTGAATGAGAGCATCCAACTCTGATCCGATCCGATGCCGCGCCGGTCCGGCAGAGAAACCGGAGCTCCTGGGCGGAGTGTGGAGCCAGCAACCCGCAGAATGCCCACTTGGAGCCGGCAATGTGACGATCGGGACCGGTCCACTGCGTCAGATCCGATCCGATCTGATCTCTGCCACACAGAGAGCATGGGGTTGCTTGTCGTTGCGTAGGACACGAGTACCCACGCCTCTCGAGCAGAAGTTCTTCCACTTGAATAATCACACCATTTCGCACCAAGCCTCATCCCCAGTTCACAGATGGAAATGTCTCACTAGCTCATTCTCTGGAGAATGGGCTGCGGCTAATCTGCGACTAACCCCATTGACGAATCATGGCCTCATCATCCAAGTTGGTCCCTGCCGATCAGCTATGGAATGTCTGGTAGCTCCGCAAGCGTGGACCGTTCGCACTATATGCTGATGTCATTGCCCACACGAGAAGCTGTCATCGATTTACGCCTCGCATGAGACACCATGCAGCGAAAGAGCTGGTCTTTGGATGATGCCATGGAGTCGTCACAGGTAGCTGAGCAAAACAAAGCTGAGCTCTGAGCTTGCTCATCGATACAAACTGGACAGATTTCATACTTACCTACCTTACCTTACCTCCATCAACCCATCTGCGAAGGAAGTTTGCTACCTCAAATCACCACAACTACACAACTCACAACTCACACATCGAACAAATCTCACATAATGTCCCGTCAAAATTACGCAGTCCCCCTAATGGGCGCAGCAGCCCTTCTAGGAGGTGGCATCTACTACGTCCGCAAACCCTCTGCAGCCTCAGGCGACCCCGCCCAACAAATTGCAAACAACGCAGATAACTCCCGCCCGTCCTCCGACGCAGTGGCAGAGCAGCGCAAGAAAGCCGCGGACGCAAAACGCGATAACGGTCTGGGCGGTGCAGGCATTGGCACCAACACCGGCGCCACGGGCGGCGCGGAACTGAGCACCGGCAACCGAGGCGGCAGCAGCGCCGACCGCGATACTCCTAAGGGCCCCAAGGAGAAGTTCCCCTCTGATGCGGGCGAGATTGGAGGTGGACCTGGGAGGGCGAACTCGAATACTAGGGCGATTGAGACACACGGTCCTTCTATGACGCCTGGGTCGAGCACATTGACGGGGGCGCTGACCGGGAAGAGTAATGGTTCTAGTACCTCTGGAAGCAGTGGCAGTTCGGGAGAAGGCATTGGGTCCAAGATCCAAGGGTTCTTCACGAGTTCCAGCAAGAGCAATGAGAAGCCCAGGCAGGCTCCGGTCGATACCAAGATTGTGAGCCACTCGCCTGATACGCCGACGAACCGTGGTGGAAGCCCCTGGGATAAGGAGAGGAGGGATGTGGTCAACCACAACCGTTCAGCAGAATCATGATTTTTGAATGGTTGCATATTTGTATTATAATCATCAGTATTAAGGGTAAGGTCATCTTTGATCCCGTTACTCCAACTATCAAAATTTCGCACCAAGCTTCTTCTCATTCTCCATTTGCTGCTCATCTACCACAATGACAGCCTTGCCGCTCATCTTACCTGTATGCACAAGCTCAACAAGCTCATGAATCTTGTCCAACCCATGAAAGACATTCGTTTTGAGCTTGATCCCATTCTTCGCAACATGCTCCATCAACCCAGCGCTCTCCTCCCTTGAACACAGCAAACTCCCCTTCACCCTCACATCCCGAAATACCAATTCCTGGAACGGGATCTTTACCTCATCAGGCTGCGCAATCTGCACCACCGTCCCATGCATCTTTGTCACAGCACAAGCTAGAGCCGCAGCAGAATCCGCATCAGACAAGTTGAGCGTGGCATCTACACCCTGCCCTCCATTCGCAGCATCCTTCGCTTCCCTCACAACATCTTCCTTTTCCTTCCTCGCGTCAAGAACGACATCCGCACCGCTCGTCCTCGTCAACTCCAACCCTTCATCCCTCGCGTCAATGCCAATGACGCGCAAGCCCAAAGCCTTGGCAATCTGAATTCCCAAATGGCCCAGTCCGCCTCCTGACCCCAGGATCGCAAGCCACTGTCCCTCCTTCAGCCCCGCCTGCACCACGCCCCTCCAGACCGTCCTGCCCGCACACGCCAGCGGCGCGGCACTCAGTAATGAAACAGCATCCGGGATCGGCACTGTAGATCGCGCGTCGACCTTGACGTACTCCGCAAAGCACCCGTCCACATGGACCCCGACGTGGCCCTCGATGCGGCTGCAATACTGCCGAAACGTCTCCGGCGCGGAAGTACAGTCAAAGCAAGAGCCGCACGGGTGTAGAGGGAGACCGCACATGACTCTATCGCCTACTTTGAAGTTGAAGTCTGACGATGTGGACGCCGAGCCGACGGCGACGACGGTGCCGGAGCCTTCGTGGGATGCGGTACAGGGGAGGGATGTGGCGAAGATGCCGGAGGAGACCATGCTGTCTGTGTGGCAGTAGGATGCGACTGCAATTTTGACGAGGAGGTCGTGAGGGGCTAGAGATGTTGGAGAGGGAACGGGGATTGTTTGGATTTCGTAGGGATTGTTGAAGGATGTTACGCGGATTGCTTTCATCGTTTTGGGGATCTCTGTGGTGGCCATCTTTGCGGGCTTGTGATTGAGATCCAATTAAGCTGGTAAGATTTTGAGTAAAGGCATTGGTTCGTTGGTCTTTTCGTAGATGATTTGGTGCTCTTCTGATGATGAAGTCTTTCGTATGGTGTTGACAAAGATGTGATGACGTCGAACCCTTGAATGGTTCAAGTTTGTTTAGCTTCCCCCGCCGGATCCAAGGCGGTCCGACGCCGACTTTGCTGGGCTAAGGTAGGATGTCGGATCCGATAGCTCACTATGGATTTGCCGAGTTTGATGCTTTTGGAGAAAGGCACGTCGCAACCTCAATTCTTCTGAGCTGCGCACCAATGTAACATTGTACCGTCGGACTCATCCGGGCGGTTATGGGCCTGATGATATTGCCATTGAAGCCTGGAGTGCCGGGATGAGATGTTTAGGCAATGCCTATCCGTGGTAGAAAGAGATCATCAGACCTTATGTTGATAATGAATGCCGTAGAATGTCAAACACCTCTACGCGCCCAGAACTCATCGATGCTGGTCGGGCGGGTCGTTGATCAGACGCAGTAGTGGAGGAAGGTAATGACCGTGACATGGCAGATAACAAGAGACTGTAGCTGCAATAGCATCATGGCAGAATCATCACAAGCTTGGAGAAGAATTAGTTTCAGGTCACTGGTTACATATAAGTGAAGACAGCGATAGAGCGAGCAGAAGTGCTTATGTGCATTGTGATATATATACGCTCAGCTCGGAGGAGCAATAGCCATCGACTCCGAACAAGCCTCCAGGGGATGAAGTATGTGCATGAATCCAAGTGTTATATACTTGAGATAAAGATTTGAACAAATGTGAATAATGAAGATTCCATTTATCGCAGAAGAGCGTGGACGGTAGAGTTGTAGGTGTCGACGCAACCGCCGAGGTAGGTCGACGTCAAAGAAGCAGTCGTGTTCTTGGCGAGCGCGGCGAGGGCAGTGGTACCGCACTTGAGGCCGAGGACGAAGGACTTGTGAATAGCATCGGCAAGGAAGGGCGCGGTGTGGGTGTGGTCGTTGGGGTAGTTTGCGTTGGTGGTGGTCGCGCCGAGGCCCTTCATCGCCTGGGCGGCGTACTCGCCGTGCGGGACGAAGTAGTAGCCCTTGGAGGGGCCGCCGAGCTGCTCAACGGCGAGCCTGAGGGGGTGTGTTAGTCTCCATTCTGATGGTCATATGGATGGTTCAGGGAAGAGGGCTTACCAGGCGTAGTAGAAGAAGCGGTCGTATCCGAACTTGTAGGTGCCAGTCTCCCAGACGTTGTTGGGGGTCGCGGCGGCGATGATGACCTGCGAGGTGAGTGTAAGCCAGATGTTCGTGTGAGATCAGAGATCTAAGTCGTTGATCATACCTTGGCGCCAGCAGCGTTGAACTTCTTGGCGGCATTCTTGAGATACGCAGGGTACGTGAGAACAGTCTCGGCAACACCGCTTCACAACAGTCAGCATCTTCATACTCTTCATGAACCCAGGGAACCAGCAAAGACTCACTTGTAGGTAGTCGAGCAAGTCTGCGCACCATCGCCAAAGCAATCCGTCCGTCCGTTGTCGGTAGGCGTAAGCGAGCCGCCGTCATTGTGTCCAAACTCAATCACGACCCAGTCGCCCGACTTGACGAGCCCGGCCACGGTGTCGAAGCGGCCCTCGCGGGTGTAGGAGCGCGCGCTGCGGCCGCCAATGGCGCGGTTGTCGACCTTGGCCTTGCTGGTCGAGAAGGAGTACTGCAGGAACTGGCCCCAGCCCTCGGTGCCGGAGCCACCGCCGCCCTTGGCTGTGGTGCTGTCGCCGCAGAGGTAGATCGTCGGGACGGTCTGGCGCTTCTCGACGGACTCGGCGTCGGTGGGGAGGGCGGAGGCCAGGCCTAGGAAGCCGGCGACGAGGGCGATGTTGGCGCGCATCGTGTCGTTTTTGAGAGAATGACTGTGGGTGAGGTAAAGAGTGGCAGGGTTCTTCGGACCGAGCGAAGGGATGAGTATGTGTCTCGTGAGAAGATGGGATGGAGAGCCTCAGATTGGAGGAAGGGAAGCTTTGCCTTATAGCTTATAGGAGAGCGGCTCTTAACTGACTCTTGACAAGCTTTCCGTCAGGGCCAGGATACGTGGGAAATCCCATCTTCCAGCCAATATCAACTAGAGTCTAGTGCAACCCCTCGACCCCGGTTCATTTGTTTCCAACGATCGCCTACACGCCTCCTCAATATCGCCAATGTGGAAGAACACCAGTCAAACTCGACGAGGGTGGTTTCCACTCGTCCGGGTGACCGGGTCCTCCCCATCTCGGTCGAGTCCTGGGCGAGACCACAATCACGGGAAAGCGGCGGATTGCTCCAGCGGTAGACCACCGGGGGGCTGGTCCTCGTGGTGTGCCATATAGAGTAGACTTTTACGTTAGCGAGCGGCTGCAGGGCAAGGAAAAGACCAGCAATCAGACGAGCCGCAGGCTCGCAGCGGCACTTGAGGTCACATCGGGGCTCCTCTCCGCCCCGCACACGGAGGACGGCGGTGCGGCTTCGTTTCGAAAGGGGCCTGGTGGCTGCATTCCTCGAATTTCCGTCGCTGGCTCATCTCTCTGGCATCTGCTACATGGACGGATTACAAGTGAAAGACTGCTCAGATCGACTTCATGAGTATACGTAGCTCGTCTGATTGTTAGAGTGTTGTCACAATATTGCTACTGAGCAGGAACCGAGCCGCCCACACGGTGTAAAGCCTCCAAACCATGGACATCCCTCACTCTCCTCCACTTACGGCTAACCGATGGCGCAATACAATTAATCTGGTTCAGTGGTTGCTGTGTGCCAGAAAGGGGCGTTGGAGGGGAGGGGGGCTCTGTCTTTCGTGTTTCACGACGTCCGTCGTTGAGCAAGGGAAATCTCCGCCAATCGCGGGCTCTCGTCGTTGAGGTGGCCCGTCCTCAACATCGTGGAGCACTGGGAGTTGGACCACCGACCACGCGGACTGAGGGCGGAGTATGGAGCTTCCAAGCTGGGATGTTCCCAGCGGAGAAGCCTTGCCCTTTTCGGCGACTAAATACGACCCGAGTCGCCGTACACAGTAAGTGGAATACTGGTGAGATTGATGAGGAAGCAGTAACTCGTCCCCTCTTGTGGCCCGAGTTGAGGTGTCTGGTGCCTCGTGGGAAAGATGGCGCGAGGAAGTGAAGTTAGTCGGTCGAAGAGAGAAAAGGGACCAAGCTGAGCCTAACCCCGCGTTGAAGTGCAGAACTTCTTCCCCTTTCGAACGGGTCAGCCGACGGGAGCGCTTGTAGGCTGGCTCAAAAGAGGTTGTGACGGCGGAACCATTCACGCCGTGCAGTGTGTGCCTTGTTCCTGATGTTCCATTCTTCCAGAATGACTGCCTCATTGCAGTGGAAAGTTCGCCCAGACGCGGGCCCAAGACGGGATGCCGGCACTTGCTCTCGAGCTGCTTGCGCCGCACTGAGTGGAGGGGGCGGAAGTCAGATTTGTTGAACTCGTTTAAAAGACGGCTAACCGGATTTCCAAAGGGTTTGTGATCAGATGAACATGGCCGTCCTACCCGAAGGGGCAGCAGTCTGCTTATTGGTGCAAATTGTTCTCGGTGCAACGTCTGAAGGTGTCTCCAAGCTTTTGGGGAATCGTGGCAGGGGTCATCCTGAGGGTTGGCAAAGCTTAAACGAAGAGCGCGAGTCGAGGTATCTGTGCGGATTCCTCCGTACTCGTGTTGCGCGCTGTTAGCGCAAAAGCTTGTCATGGGAGAGAGGGCCACTCAAGGCCTCAGATATGAGAAGGGGAGAGCTGGGGGGCTTGGTGATGATTTTCCGTTAGTGTCTATGGTGTCATCTGTGCTCTCATCTTGTTGATATTTCTTATAAAGCAGACGAGGTCGATAGTCTGGTCTAGATGCTTGTCGCGATGCCTGGGTGGGAATTCGCGTTCGGAAATTTGGTTACTTAAAAAGGTTGAAACTGGGGTAGGGTCCGTAGGGAGCTTAAAAGCAGATTGCAGGGTGAGCTGCGATGCGCTGCGGCACTACGGGAATAAGAAATCCCTATGGGTTCGACTCACCTCGGTGAATCGGTGAATCGGCAGCCATATCGTTCGGCGACTCGGTGCGGGCCCGGTGACCGGAGTGGTGATCGGAGCTACACCGAAAGCCGGCCTCTTTGCCAGGAGAATGGGCCACGCTCCGTGGCTCGAATACATCCGCGCTTTTCTCTGTAACGCAGTGCACTTGTCGGCCGAGAAACATGTTGTAGATTTACTGGGAATTTCTATACAACTTTTGACCACGCAGAGTACTCCCCACTCCGAAAGCAAGACGGACTGTGTCCTAGACACACTTTTCCGTGCTCAAGAGTCGATACCGTATCATAGGAGGTTTGGAACAAGTGCAACCATATAAAGGTTGCCACGTTCAAATCAACCTGAACCTGCGGTGGAATCGAATTGATTGGGGAATCTCGAGAAGAATCGTGAGGGAAGAGATCTTTTCCCACCGTGCGCCAAGCGTGCTCACCTAGTTTTCGCTCGGTGGTTTCTGTAGGCAAGATCTTCAGATTCTGGCATTGCGATTCAACTTCAGGAACAAAAGCTGGTGAAAGATTGAACATATGCATCCGGATGAGGCGGCCCAACGACAGACAATCCACAAAGATCGAGGGTAGAAGCTAGTCAAAGATAGGTCTGTCAGATCGCCTGAATATCTATGGTCATGTGCATCCCTGCTAGTGTGCCGCATCGCCGGGTCGACCCCATAACCATGATTTCGGGATCAACCATCTGTCAATTCGTAACACACTGCTAGATTCATGGGCAATATCTCACCCTCACACACACAGAAACTGCTGGCTGATGGATTTCGAGGCTGATTGGAATGCGCCTCCTCAAGCAAGGGATCCTGCGGTTACCAGGGATGCTCATTGCTGACATCTTCGGACTGGGGGCGGATTGCGGCTGGCGGAGCTGAATGCTTATCGGAATGCTCATAATTGGCCAGAATACGGCCAGAGGAATTCTTGCACCGCGCCGGGAAACGGGTGCCTGCATAATGGAGCTGATGGGACTATTCTTAAAGAATCCCGCGTGGCCAAACGAACGTTGGTTAGCCTGAGTTCAGTATTTTTTTTACCCCTCGACTGACAATCGACCCGAAATTTTGGAAGCCGTCATCAATCGCAGCTGCTGTGTAGAAGAGAACAGCACTACCTAGCTTGGTATCAACGAAGACACGAAGAGTCGAAGAAAAGCACGAAAAGAGCACACAGATATCCCAGAAAGCAACATTAGAAAGAGCTGCCATCATGGCGCACACCGACAAGATCTCGCTCGAGTTCATCACCACCGGCAACGTCTGGATGCATACCGGGATGCAAGGCCAACCCATAGAGAACCGCAATATCGCCCTCCGCTTCCTCCGCTCCTTCACTGGCGACTGGATCGGTCCCATGCCCCTCGGTGCATTCCTCATCCACCATCCCAAGGGCCCCATCCTCTTCGACACGGGCGTCTCAACGCACTGCACCGAACCGGGATACTTCCCCTGCTGGAACCCGGTGCCGGGCATCCTCAACAAGCTGGAAGTTACAAAGGAGGACGGCATCGTCACGCAGCTCCGGAAACGCGGCATCGAGCCGACGGATCTGCAGTTTATCATCATTAGCCACCTACACCACGATCACGCCGGCGGACTGGAGGTTCTTGCTGTCGAGGCGCCCGATGTGCCCATCTACGTCGGGGGAGAACACTGGGATGCCTTCGGAAAGCATCCAGTCTATGCTGCTATGCAAGGGTGCACGCCAGACCGGTGGCCTAAGGATTTCGAGCCGCGGATCCTTGACTTTGAGGAAAAGCGCGCCGTGGGGCCTTGGGGTCGGTCGTGTGAGCTTGCACCAGGCGGGACGATTGTCGCGGTCGATACGCCGGGCCACGTGCCGGGTCATATCTCGTTGATTGTGGTGGGTGATAACGACGATGGGAGCAAGACGAGGTATTTGCTGACGGGAGATGCGACATATGCGATTAGTGTGTTGGATAAGGAAGAGCCGGATGGTGCGAATAGTGACCCTGTGGCGGCGTTTGAGAGTTTGAAGAAGATTAAGGCGTATGCTCGGAGCCACGACGTCGTTGTGCTGCCGAGTCACGATCCGGATACGCCTAGGTTGCTGAGGGATAAGGTGGTCTATCGGCCTGGAAAACATTAGATGGGTGTCGCAGTAATACTCATGACAGAGGAGATGGCACGGCTGGAAGTTATAGGAAGATAGACCGAATGTGGGACTCAAGAGTCAACAGAACGTGCAGCCCTTTATCGTAGGACGAGATGTGAGAAATGTCTATACTTTGTGGTATGCTCATGATATAGAACGACCTAGGCAGAATTAAAGATAACAGAAATCCTCGAGCCATTTGGCATGACATCTACGAGCTAGATCCAATCAAAACTGATTACTTTAAGGAAGCAAGTGCAGATGCATCTCCATGCTTTACACTATCCATCGCCAAACCTTACACTCCTGCCGAATAATGACTTCGCAGGCTAGACAACACGTGAATCGGGCGAGGAGAGGCCACGCCAGGAGGAGAGGGCCGCTGCTGACACAGAGCTCTGGTAGAGGTCTTGGTACTGGAGTCCTCCGTGGCCTCACGGGTGCCCGTACTGCTGCTGTTCATCATCCAGTGAATGACAATGGCTGAAAATAGAACTGAAACAATCATCAGCCCAATTAATTCCAACCAGTAGGAACAAGCTCCAGGGGCTTACTATCGCTTGTGCAACACATCATGCATAGCCACGCAACCTCACCCCGCAAACCCACTATGGTGATGCAGTTACTATGTGATGTTAGCATATCATGACTTCGAGGAGTTGTCTTATATTTGAAATACTTGCAGTAAACTGCTGCCCATCGTAGCTATCGATCCTATAATGGTTCTCTTGGCCAGTTGTCGAAGCCTACGGTTCGGGGGGTTGTGAGAATGAGCGACGGGATGAAAGTAACGGAAACCGGTGGTGGAGGGCAGCCACCGCAGCGAATATGTCCCTAATGACCGGTTAAAAGACGTCAGTGAACGCAAAGTTCAACTTACTACAAAGTGGCTGCAAGAACAGAATCGTCAAGTATACCTAGACTACTGATAAGCATCTGTACTGTGAGCTCCGACGGTGCAATCCCTTACAGTTGCGATTGGATCTATTGCAATGAGTGGTATCATCGATTGCCATCGAAAGTAGATTCGACAACCACCACCATACAAATCCCAGACAGTACTAAAGTGGAAGAGTTGGTGACTAGCCTATGGTGTGTTTGCGGAAAGAAACTTACTCTGCAATGTTGTAGCTGCTAATCGTACCGTAGATGCCTAGCGCCAGAAATCAGCCAAAATGCAGGAGAACCTCAGAAGCAGGAAGCTTCGAGGGAGACAAAACATGGTTGGGTCAACCCACCGATGACCAGAAAAATGTTCCAGAGATACAGCTTAGACCTCAGTCTTGCTTTCTTGGTGCTGCGAATGACGTGCTTCGGCAAGACTCAGTATGGGTTCAGGCATTTGCCTTTCTTTAGTGTATACTCACTGCACGATCAACAAGAAACAGGAAGATGAACTAAAATATGTTACTAGAGGAATCAAACTCATTTGAAAATGAGGCACTCACGATCTAGGTTTGTTATTTAGCATGCTAAGATCCATCATAATATTGATGAACAACTCTTACCTTGCTTCCCATGTAGATAATCGGGCATAGCAGTGCTGTCGCTCTGCAGGTTGCTCTGCTCGTACCATTTCCTACCACAAACTGCATGATGAGGGCAGAGACTGAATATGCTAGAGATGTTCCGTAAATGAGAAAAACGAGCCAGATGATCCACGGCAAGTTTTGCCAGCCCTTCCTCCTGACTCTCATTGCACGCAGTGTGATGAAGCTGGATAGTACACAAGCGGTTGTGATTTCGATGATGCAACTGCAAAGCTTTGCAGCGAACGGGCTGTGATACCAAATCTCTTCATCATCTCTCTTGCTCAGAGTATCCATGGCTAGGGCGACTCCTGGTGATATGGCAGTCATCGCAATGTCTGAGCTGAAGGTATTGTCCCAATGTTGTTCTAGGCAAGGTTGTGCTAGGCGAAAGTATATTCGGCTCAAGATGTATGATTGATGTCGAAATTATAACGGATAGCGCTTGGCGTCGAGATTCGTTGAACATTTGGACGGGACGCCAATTAATATCCCCACAGGTAACCTTGAGGCTCTGGCAAGAATATGAATGGTTCAAGCGGGCTTTCGGATTGTCCGTCCACACTGAGCGTCGAGGCCCTCGAACATCACGCCACAGCTCCCCGCCGTTTCTAACGCATGTGATCGGCTGTACACCTCACAGCGGTATTGGACGGGGCGCACTGGCTTATCATCACTGGCATCGAGGAAAAAGAAAAACAGTTGGCGGTCTGATAATTACTTCCGTGTGCAATTGGGCTGCCCGCCCCGGTGCCGGCATCCTTTGGCAGATCATGCGAGACTAATGTACAGTACCAAGGAATTGTAGACCGGCAACACCGAGAGAAACGAGAAAAGCGCTAGACAGGGGATAGGCGCTAAGTTATAAAATGATAAATCCTTAGGGTGATATGTTCCTCTTTGATTCGCTCAACAGACTGCGATGCCTTGCCCACACCATTGCAGAAGCATGCATCTCTCTGCATAAGTCTTCAGCATGGCAGACGTCCCTCCATCTGAAAGAGGAATCATATTTCCTCGCGATAATTTAACCCTTTAGTTTTTCCCACGCCTCAAAGTGGCGAGATCTTGCTCAGAAACGTCACTTGGGGTGACGCCTAGTTACGTCCTCATAACTAGGTAAGTGGAACGGATTTTGCCATTTGCATGTCTGACCCTCAACCCTCTTTGGCATACCAATGTTTTTGAAAGGCTTCGTCCAAATCTCCTCAACTGCCATTTTCCGTTCAAATTATGAAGCAGTTGGTAGTACTTCGTCTAGATCCATGAAGCACATTGTTTTCATCTACACCGTCGCGTGGCGCGCCCTTCACGCAGCTTGCGCTGTGCTCATCTAACATTGGACTCCGGGTTGTGCCAAGCGATGCGATTTGATTGGAAGGTCTCCCCGGCAATTAATTTACCCAACCACCTCAGTTGGGGGTGACGCAGTACGGAATAGTGATGCCATAGATATTGCCGGTCTTTTTGTGAGGAGTGGCGATTGTGACGGCGAAAGCTGGATGAAATTTCAGAAGTGACAAAGATATTGCGATGGTTTATCTAGGGTCTACTAATAGAATCCGGGGGCGAAATTCAAGTAATAACGTTTACATGTTCTATGAGTGTACTGAATACATCGGGTTTAAGGAAACCACGGTAGCTTGCTGCAGGCGTGACCCTGAGAAGGAGCATCTACAGTAAGGGTGAGCTGGAAATATTCCCCGGATAATCGCACAGTCTTCTCTCCTGCCAAAAGAAAACCTCGTTCATGCTCTCGCATAAGGCTGAGACTTTGCGAATACGGTACAATAGTCTTTTGATCGTCGTCATCTACATGACTGACATCTCTGCGCATTTGGACAGTGACCATTGTGACATAAGTCTGCCATCACCACAGCTCCGTCAAATCCCACAGAGTTCAAGGAGTCCATTACAATACCAGTTCATCGAGCTTTTTGTATTGATTCCTCAATGCTGCGTCATATGTGATCTCCAAATGAGCTCGGCAGTCCTGGGGACTACGATCTGCAAAGAAAATTAGGAGCTAACGCTCACCTGGTGGCAGCCATCAGGATCCATCACTGAATAGTAACAACACACTAGAACATTCTGTCCTTCCGTGCTTCGATCGATGCTTCGACGAAGAAAAAGAAAAGTCACCAGCATAGCTTCTAGAAGGATGCACCTTCGAGAGACGGTAAAGATCGTCAGTCAACTTTGACAGTCTCTGGAAAAGTGATGTGGCTAACGGTCCGATGCAGTCGCTGCTCAGTACTTCGAGGGATCGAAATCTCATTAAATGACGATACAGCTGATTCTCATAGGACTCGGACTTGTCCGGCATGCCCCCAAACTTAACGCCAGTTCCTCGTCATATGGCGTGTTTTCACCGACGCAGTCCACAGCGGCATCGCTCATGGCACGCAGCACTCAGGCAGAGAAAAGCATCAAGCAAGTAAAGATCATTATTGTGATAGGCTTGATTCTGGATAATGGCATTCTACCCAACCATTGACGGATACGAGCGCCTGCATGTGGCCTCACTGGTCTGCAGACCCGACTACACCAACGACGAGTGCCAATCTGACCGTGTGGGAAGACACACCGCTTCGAACCACAGGGGGGAACCAAGAAGATGTGCCCTAATAGGCGTTCGGACGAGATAATCCGGACTAACATGTCTCGTAGGCGCAGCTCAGATCCCCCCCTATCCTGGCCTGATAGACCGCCAAAGAGGAAGCAGAGTGAATTTAGCCCAAAAGAACTGCGGGGGCTAGACCTGTAGGAACGGATTCAAAGCGGACGACAATCCAATCAGTTCGCCTGTCAGATATTGTGGCTTTGCCAACGGTCATCGTACTTGGGTATGGCAAGGGGGGGGGGGGGCGGGGGGGCGGCGTTGATTCCATGTTTAAGATCGAATTAGGCGAAACCCAAGGCTACCCGCTAGTTCATGCCCTAGAGACGCTGTTTTGACAATTGATTAGGGGAAACGGTTACTAGTTCTCGTTTCTTGCTAGAAATTTCTTGTATAAAAGCATATAGAAACTAGCATGTCGATTAGACAAGGGACTTTCCTCTTACAATCGGTCTCCACAGGGGGACGAGCGACGATAGACCTGTGAGCGATATGGGTGAGACGGGGTTGTAACTTTCGAAGAGACCTAGACGTGCAAGCCCGCATACCTCGTTCACCTTCAAGCTCTTATCGGGCCACTACAGAAGCTAATACGAAAGATGCGTTGGAGACCCTACTTGAGGGGATAATAGCCATGCCTGGATGCTAAGATGACTGCCATCGCTTCAAAAATGTGAGATAATTCTTTCAACACTCATATTGGTTGATATCAATGCCTACCTAGCCCGAGGAGACCATGCTGCAACGTGGATGTTCTAACCTTGCTTTGCAGGTTTTAATACGCCTAAGGTAGGATTAAAGGATTAGTGAACCAAAGCGAGGATATCAAGACAGTTAGATGGACATGCAAGTGCATACGCATGTCTATTTCTGGAGCTCGAATTGTTAACTTGCTGGACGATCTCTTCATTTTGCGGTAGCCCTAATTTGAGAAAACTGAATAGTTACCGAAAATTGCAGAACTAATTCGAAAACATTTTACATATTCCTCTGATCACGTGTCGAGGATCTCTTAATGATTGTCATCTCATTTGATCTATTAACTACACACATTATCTGGTTGATGCACATCTACCTCTGGACAACTACCAACATCCCCTCAAACACGGCACAAACGGCCGTTCTGAGTCGGGAAACCATCAAGCTGGCGCGTGACGTACCAACTCTCGCTACCGACGCCCAAGTTGGCATAGAACACACCAGTGGGATCAATCTTTTGCTTGAATGCGAGAAGCCGGGCGTACTTCTCGGTACCGTAGAATGACTGCTGGAAGTCAGGCTCAGTCACGTCACCCTCGCTGGCATATCCGCCACCGCCAGGAGTGACATCCCGCCACGGCTTCATCCACTCGTTGGTCAAAAGCTTAGACTTCTCAGCGACAACCTCAGCGGGCGTGCCAACGTCCCAGCCCATGACGGAAATGGCAAACATGGCAGCCCCACGCCACGCCGGGTTGACGGCGTTGTCGGGGTAAGGGCCGGGGCCGCCGGTGATGCCGAAGCCAATGATCTGACCGCCCTTGTCGCTGAGACCCTTGATAGCCTCAAAGGTAGCGTTGAACTTGGTGGCGTCGGAGAAGTTCTCAGTAGGGAAGAGACGGCACGCCGTCTTGGCGGCCGTACCGCCGACGGACTCCTTGGGGAATCCGGCCTTCCAGGCGGGGAGGAAGCTCTTGTGCTCGGTGTAAACGGGATCGACGGTGATGCCCAGCTCCGTCCACTTGGCAAACAGCGGAGCGGTGAGCTCCTTGAGTTGGACGAGAGTCATGTTGGGGGCGAACCAGGGGAGCATGGTGAAGGTGAGGGCATCGGGGCCGGTGTGGAAGATGTTCCAATACTCGTAGTTGCCGGCCGCGTTCCAGGTGGGAAGTCCCTCCCAGTAGGCCTTGACGCCAGCCCAGAAGGCTTCGTGGCTGACGGTCGCGCTGGTGCTGAAGCTGAAGGTCATGACGGCGATGGTGTCGATCTTGGGGTAGGCCCTGACGACGTATGAGGTCACGACACCATAGGTGTCTTATGAATGGTCAGCTTGTGTTTCCTTTGATGGGAAATGGCTCAACTTACTTCCACCGCCGCCTCGAAGAGCCCAGAACAGCTCAGTGTTCTGCTTCTCGTTGGCAGTAACGAAGCGTCCATCGGGGGTAACGACATCGATGCTCAAGACCTGGAGAAGTAAAAGTCAGTAAAGTAGGTTAGTGTAGAACATATTAAGAAACATTCTTACCGAGTCAGCAGCAATGCCATACTTGGGCGACAGCGGTGAGTGACCACCACCAGCAAGGTAGCCTCCAGCATAGCCGACAGTCATGCCCTCGCCTCCGACGGCAGTAACACCGAACTTCTCAGCTGCCTCATACAGCTCGAAGCCCTGAACGCCGGCACCAACCTTGATAGCGGGGCCAGAGTACGAGGAAGTGGTGTAGGTCTGATAGAAGTTGATGCTCTTGAGGTGGTGGGTCCAGACAGAGAGGGCACCGGATCCGGAAGAGCGACCGTTGAAGTCATGGCCAGTGTTCTTGACCACGAGACGAATATTGAGGTTACGGGCAAAGTTGACTGCGAGCTGGATCTGTGCCACATTCGTGGCCTTGACGACGTACGAGGGGAAGCCACCGACGGTGCAGGTGCCGGCGGAGCTGTTGTCAACTGAGGGCGGCATGCAAGTCAGGCCCTGGTACAGAGGGCTCATGACTGAGGTTGGATCCTCGGCACTTCGTATCTGATTAGCATGTTGGAATCAGAACGTAGAGGAAAAGAGGCTTTGGCTTACTGGATCGTAGAGTTGGTCCACTGATTGGTGATGTACTGGCAGCGAGTGGCGTCATAGTTGCCAAAGTCATCAAAGCAAGAAGCGCCAATAGGCACTGTCTCGGTGACGGCAAATCCGGTGAGGAGGTTGAAGACGCTC